AGTGGTGACATGACATCAGTGGAACAATGTTATGATCGTCACGTTGTTTCTAAGAAGCCGCGTCTCTTACAACGATGACGGGGAGCCTGCCTTTGTTGGAAAGTAGATTATCGCGTAATTTCCGCAACTAAAGACTTCTGGTAATAAATAGAAAATTATATTCGTGACTATAATATTGCCAGGTTAATCGACTATAAATATCGGCATATCCCTTCTCTCATAACTCCGAAAATACTAAGACAAAGTTACTAACGTCCTAATAGTGTCCATATATTTTAGAAATCTATACCAATAAAGCATAACCTCACTACTTTCATTTTTGATAAATGACAAAGGATTAATTCAACCATATTAAAGGTTTTGTGGCTTGAAGGATCGGAAAGCTCATTAAAATGTGGTACGCTGTACCCCTAGAGACTTGGATAAAAAGGTTGGAAGTGTGGGTCATAAATGTACGAAAGTTTTATTGTTGTTCATACCTGTTAGGCCTCCCGCCTCTACATGTATTTCTGAGATGATAACCTGTTAGAATCCACTACCACCCTCTATGTCTTAGTGCATGCTATGATATAACCTGTTAGAACACACCACACTGACTTTTCTGCCCACTTATTCAATTGGGCTAAATCGTAGTTGAGGATAATGCTTCTATGGATTTTTGGTGACATTTTCCTGCTAACACCGATTGATGTGTCATCGGGCCAGGCATTATTGTGACATTTTGTAAATTTCCAGGTAAATCATTGATGAGAGAGCATAAGCGGAAATACAAATTAACCAAGGCGATCCTTGAGGAACCCTCTGCATTTAACATTTAGTTTTCATAATATTCCATTAATGAGTATTGATAATTCCTCGTCGTCTACGAACACCATCATTTTCTAATTTGTGTGCAATAAACCTTTATGCCCTGCCCTGTAAAAAGCTTTGAAATATCACAAAACAGCATACAGTAAAGGTGGTGGATTATCTAGGATTTGGAGCATATATTATGATAAATGTCTATATTGAGATGTAGTAGAATGACTAGCAGTAAAACCTGACTGGAGTTTACTTAAAAATGTTATGTTCATGGAAATGGTCGTGCATTACATTGCTTTACCATTATTCTTTCAAGGATTTTCCAAAGGATAGGTATTAAACCGAAATAGGTCTGTAATTAGTTGAGGGATGCATCTCCTCCTTCAAAATATATAACATTACCCTCGTTTCCACAAATGTAGGAAATACAGTCACCCAGTGATATATTATACAACAAAGAGGTCTAGCTATATGTACAAATCGTTTCAACCCATGTTACACGCCATCAGGTCCACTAGATTTTGTTTCCTGGTAAGGTCTTATCAGATACCTCCTTTTGATAATTTCATACTTTTGGTTATTGAAACAAATGTGGACAACTTTAAAGCTGATGTATGGCGTTACAGCAAAGGCTGAGCGGAAGGAGAAATAACATGGTTCCGGCACTGTGAGACTATTAAGAAAGTTCACATGCAGCGCAATAATATTCCAAATTATGTACTGCCAAAATATTTTTACAGTAGTGAGTTTGAATAGACTTAATAATTACGAGCTGGTACGCGTGGCATATTTGGCTGTGCTCTAAGAGACATCTCCAGGGTATACGTTACGATAACTCTCCACTATACCCTGGATGCACATCCATACGGCTTTAGGGCGATGATTTTATTTCCTCCCTTATTGGCTCCGCATTCCTCACAGTAGCCAATCAGCTATGCCGCCGTTACAAACCGAGCTTCGCCACTGTCAAGCATCAAGGATAGCGGTCCGAAGTCGCGAAGGTTTGTTCGCAGATTGCCACCTCAGATTTTTCGGGAAATAATGTAAGACAAACAAATTACAGGTCTGAAACTTTTAAAAATGTATGACAGAGCTCCTTCTACTTCTTTCAGAGTACCTCTGCATCAATTGTGTTGCCAAGTTTTAATGCGGTTAGGATAATTTAAGAAGCGATAGTGAGTTGTGATTGGGTACGCTCTAACTTCCCAGAAGCGTAGGCACTTTGATTGGATAAAAGCCAGCCAAATGGAGTGTAATAAAATCATCGCCCTAAGCCGTGGATGCATCCAGGGTATAGTGGAGGAGTGATCGTAACGTATATATGTCTGCGGATCTAAGTCGACCATATCAGATTAATGTCTATCGCTCATCTCCTACGTATATACGAAGAGATAAGTACTACGTAGGGATGATTCAATCCCTACGTAGAGATACCATACCTTACGTAGGGAGATATTAAGTCCCAGCGTAGGAGACAGTGTGACCAAAACATTTTTCACCGTGGCTCTACTACGCTTCCGTAGTACTAAACTTAACTTGAACCGTTCATAGAGAACCGTTCTCCCGTCTAAGTTTGTACAGGAGGTGGTGCGTGTAAACGTATGAAGTAATATCCGTTACATGTTCAACACGAATGTCGTTATGAATTAAGTTTCACAATATCATCTGCGACTGAATATCCTTCGATATTCACTGCCGCGCGATCAAAGGTAACAAGAGTTTTTAAAACTCCCAGCGTTGTTGAGTGAGTGACTCCAACATGGATTTTCGGCATAAACACCGCATACAAGGCATTGATTAGATTCGGTGTTCCTAAAGGAAAGACCAGCACGAATGAAACACAGGCGATCACTACACGCTCTCGCTTTATGAGATATGCTACGACGACAGATGGTTGTTGTCACAACAACAGTGCTCAGTGAGTGATCAATAGCAAAAACAGTCAGTAGTTCGTAAACTAAATTAAAAGCAAGGTTTCTTTTTATCCACTATTACGTATCATTTAGAATGTGTGTTAAGATTGCAGAAACGCTTACACTTCAAAGAGTAAATAAGCACAAGAACTTCCATTTTGTTTTCCCTTTGTCAGATCACATAATGCCAAATGTCATCGCTGGGCGTGGGACGGGAAGTGACCGAAAAGCAAATCGGCTCGAATAGAAGCTGTGTTTCAAAGACAGGAATTATTTAAACATGAAAGACTGAAGTGTAAATTTTGCAGTAATGACTTTTTTAATACTCGAAACGGGCTGACCAATATGAATAATCTCCATATGCCTTTATATGAGTAGCGAAGTCAAGTACATGTAATGACTTGCAAATGGTATTATTGATAAATATAACTTGACAAACGTTCAGCCATTATTTGGGCCGTGGCGCAGCCAGTGGTTAAAGCGTTCACTCGTCACGCCGAAGACCCGGGTTCGATTCCCCAATGATTTACTATGTGGTGAAGCCCATTTTAGGTGTCCGCCGCCGTGATATTGCCGGAATATTGGTTAAAGCGGGTAAAACTAAACTCACCCACTCACTTCCATTATAACCGACACTGTCCATGTATTTCATGCAGCCCCGACTATCTTTGCCTTTGCCGTCGTCCATGTCCGTGTATGAACCATACAGGAGACACATACAAATTCGCATGTTACAATAATGTCAGTGAAAAGCTGATACCATCTAAATGCGTTTTCATGCAAGATTAAAGAGTTACACCCTTTAAGGAGATATGCAAATAAACGATAAGAAGGAATCTCGTAGCATGCTGTTACTCTGTAATCAACGAGTGAGCTGAGTGAGTGTGGTTTGCGCCGCTTTTGTAATATTCCAGCAATATCTCGGGGTGGCCTCCACACATTATGCAAATATGGAAATTGAACCCGGATCCACGAGCGAACGCTTTAATCCACTAGCCAAGCAAACCGACCCTCCATGATCAACGAGGACACGGACCAGAACATAATTTGTTAAACATCAAGCACATTCCTATGGTTGCTTTCATATATGGACACGGCAGATAATTTCATATATGCTTTCATTCGGAAAGTGAAGTATGTATATATAAAAAATTTATTTTTAGCATTGCCATTGAAAAAGCATAGTTTTATTTACTTCTTTTAAAACTGTTTCTGAAGAGAGAATACAATGCAACCGTTCTGAATAACACATATTTAGGATTCAGATTTAAGATTCACAAATCGTAATCGAGACGGGAAGCTATATGAAGACCTTAGGAGAACGCATAACTTGTGATTAGTCTGAGTCAAGACAAATGAATACTATTACAGTCACGAGATAACTTGTTTGAAATACCCATACTGCTGCCCTTTGCACGATCTCATGAACAGTTACTCGCCGATAGCCCAGTCATCATGACCCACGCTTTACAAATGTTAACATCAGTATACCTGTGCATAAAACTGTGTTGTTTACAGTAACATTGCGCTTTTGCAGAGATTCACATGTGATGCAAAATGAACAATTTATATGATTCAGATAAATATGATAATATGTGCTCATGAAGTTTGTCAATGCCTCCCCTTCACGTCTTCAGTCAGTGACACGCACCGCCAGATGTTAACGGTGAACGCGCTGCGAATGTTGTGAAGCATGTGCACGTGAGTGTGGTGGGATGCACGAGCAGTGTATCCGTGCTCTACATGCTGTGTAACGGTTCTGGTCTACTACAGACAGACAACACGTACTTATAATAGATCGTCCATACAAGTAAACTGTGAGCTTCCTCCGATGATAACGAGTCCCACTGTTCAACTTGATTTTTATGCATACTATGATTTTGCTTGCTTGGTTCCTCATTTCCCCATTAAAATGCACATACGAATACACATTTGTTTGCATCTCTAACCAGGTGTAATCTTGAATACGAGTGGACGTTGCTTAGCACAGCATTGACTACATGCATAATACGTTGTGTAGTATATGTGCAACATATTTACAGTATTGCAGTATGCATATTACAGTAAGGGCTGGACAGAAGGGCAAATAATATCGGTCTGGGACTGTGATACAGACTGGGACAAGGTATGGAAAACTAACAATCTGGACAACGGACCATTGTTTGGCCTTTTTTGTTTGGGTTATTTTTCATTCATATGCTTTATTTTAAGCTGACCAAACCCAGGAGAAATGTAATGACTCCTTAGCTACTCCTAGAGAGAGCCGTACCTTTGTTTGGGGGTGTCTTCTGAATGAACAAGCTGTGGTCCACTTCTACGTCACTAGATCACGCGCTCGGCTCTCGGTGACAGACTGACGGAAACTATGCAGGTAGGTCATTAACGGTGATTATGTCAACTTTATTTATTATCACTTGTTGAGAAACCTTAGTTAACACCCAAAATAGTCTTGATATGAAACCAGTATCTAGGTCGACACGATGAGATCGTACTCACTATATCTCTCAGCCCTCGGCCGAGCTTGTCGTTGATTTGTTGAGTAATCACACTGACCCTAAGAAATACTAGCTGGTATATCAACGTGTCTGTACACCCCTGTATGATTTTATGTCTCTGTACATCTGTGTCTGTATGTCGGTGTGTTTTTCTGTATCTGTTCATCTGTGTCTGTATGTCGGTGTGTCTCTCCATCTCTGTGTTCCTGTCTGTTTCTCTTTGCCTCCATGTCCCTGTCTGAATGTTTCTATGCATATTTTGTTTTGTTTTCTCTCTTCTGTCTGTGTCTCTGCAACTCTCTGTCTACGTCTTCTCTGTGTCCACGTCATCTCTATGTCTTCGTCATCTCTGTGTCTTCGAGTCTCTGTGTCTACGTCATCTCTATGTCTTTGTCATCTCTGTGTCTTCGTCATCTCTATGTCTACGTCATCTGTGTCTATGTCATATATGTGTCTTCGTCATCTCTGTGTCTTCGAGTCTCTGTGTCTACGTCATCTCTATGTCTTCGTCATCTCTGTGTCTACGTCATCTCAGTGTCAACGTCATCTTAATGTCTACGCCATCTCTTTGTCTTCGAGTCCCTGTGTCTACGTCATCTCTGTGTCGACGCCATCCCTCTGCCTGTGTCCCTGTGTCCCCGTCAACTCTGTGTAACTTTGTCTTTGTGTGGCTTTGTCTCGTGAGAGCTGAGGGAATGGTGGCAGTGCGAGGAAACTACATACTCTATATATATTCCCATTTCATAATAACGACCATTATTCAACCTAACACCACAAGTAACCGTTTGCTGTGTCCTACTAGAGTTCATGTGTAACAATATATGCATGTAATCAGCTGAATCAAGTTTGAACCAGACACATCCTGTGACTGATATCTTTGGCATCGATTCACGCAAATTTGACACGATGACGTTAAATAACAGATGTTTCAATCATTTCTTATTCATAATAATTGTCGAAATACTTAGTTCCAGTGTTTACAGAGTATTCGTGTACTTTTTCAATGTTCGCAAAGACACTAGAAAATATTAGTTGCATCAGAACACCTTAATTCACCAGACTGGTCAACCACGTGGATAGTACATGAATGCACCACTGGGGATAGTGGTTGCTATGGCGATACCACAACGTGGATAGTACATGAATGCACCACTGGGGGATAGTGGTTGCTATGGCGATACCACAACGTGGATAGTACATGAATGCACCACTGGGGGAATAGTTGTTGCTATGACGATACCACAACGTGGATAGTACATGAATGCACCACTGGGGGAATAGTTGTTGCTATGACGATACCACAACGTGGATAGTACATGAATGCACCACTGGGGGGATAGTTGTTGCTATGACGATACCACAACGTGGATAGTACATGAATGCACCACTGGGGGGATAGTTGTTGCTATGACGATACCACAACGTGGATAGTACATGAATGCACCACTGGGGGGATAGTTGTTAACATGAAAGAACCAGCATGTGGATTGCACATTACGTAGGGATTTGAAAATACCGACACCATCCGGATCGAGGTGTTTGTCGTGGCCATTTGGCAAATCTACCTGATAATAAAACAATTTGACCGATGTTTGCTAAGGGCAAGACGTTTCCTTCTAAACACCACGTACAGTGTAGGGTTGGGCTTCACTTGATTTCTATTTGTTAGTTACGGGTAGTCAACGCAAGATACCCGATATCTCCAGTATCTCAATATACACACCCTTCATGCAGGGTGATATCGATGCTAAGTAAACACCTCTGTGTTTGACTAAACTTTCCAATAATTATAAATCGAACTCTGGACGTTTTCGGGTCAGGTCAAGCGCCATTGTGTGCAGAAAACCGAGTGCCCCTGAGTGTAACTGTTCACGGTTGATTCATTAATGGCAATGATTGTGATGATAATGATGATTAAATGGTTTTAAAAGTTATTCAGTAGGTCATGCACTGGATTTACACCATAGGACGTATTTAATTTTGTCGATTTCATAAATGTATCAGAATATTAAACCATCGTAACCTGTACCAGGCAATGTATATTGCATATGTAATATTAAACAGACCTTTATGTTCATGAAAAACTTTTACTTCATTTATTTGGCATAAACATAAACATCTTCACCACAGCTAGGAAAGGTCATTCGTTTGTTCCTTTAATATTTCTATTTGGCATACGAAAGTATATATTTTTCATTGCAAGTTGATATATGACTAACATATTGCAATATGATATCGTGTGTCCATATACATGCCATAGATGTATTGTGTTTAAATAGTGTGTCAAGCTTATAATTAACTGCAAGTGCTAATTAACTGCAATAAAGCCGCCATATCATCGGTTTCCCATTATGCCACCTGTAAAAGAAAGTGTTATGTCTTAGAGTCAGGAGTGGTCACTATATGTGTCAGTAATTAAGTAGGTTTGGCCAAGACTCCAAAGACCCCGGTTAATAGATATGTAGGTCTATCATAGTTCTGATCAGAAATCAAGTAGGTCTATTATAGTGTATTATAGTGTTCTACGATCTGCGATCGTGGTTAATAGCTATGTAAGAAATCCAGTAGGTCTATCATAGTGTTCTGCGATCGTGGTAAATAGCTATGTAAGAAATCCAGTAGGTCTATTATAGTGTTCTGCGATCGTGGTAAATAGCTATGTAAGAAATCCAGTAGGTCTATTATAGTGTTCTGCGATCGTGGTAAATAGCTATGTCAATAATAAAGCAGCGCCTTCATGAAGTCCTTGGACCCTGGTCATCAGTGAGTGAGTATAGTTTTACGCCACGTTTAGCAATATTCCAGCAATTTCATGGCGAGGTAACACCAGAAATGGGTTCACACAATGTCACACATTGTACCCATGCCTTCATGGGGAATCGAACCCGAGTCTTCAGCGTGACAAGCGGACGCTTTAACCATTAGGCTACCCTACCCCACCGCCCCTCCATGGTTTTGAAAAAAGAAGTAGATCTATCATACTGTCATGACACCGAGGTCAGAAATATAATCGGTTTCTGATAGTCATGGTTACATGAAAAATCAGTTATAAAGTAGGTTTAACCCAATCTATTGTATAAACATCGCACCTATTGTATAAACATCTCCTTCATTGTAACTACTCCTGTATTTATACACCTCTGGCTTCCATTCACTATCCTTTGTGTACTCACTGGCTTCATCAGCTTACTGCTTAACCAATTATGGCAATTATGTTGTTTCGGTCACCAATTACAATGCATGTTGTTTCATTGTTATATACAGTATATATATGCAGCTCCTCCACTTTATGTATCACTCTTGCTTGACAACGGTACAAGAATCTGTATCGAAACGTCGCACTCACGAAATAAAGAAGTTGTTATCCATCAAAACGTGTTCCATATTATAAAGTAGGTTTATCAAAGAAAACAGAGACCGTGGTCCGTAATGAAGTGGGCGTATCTTAAAGTGGTTATAACGTGGTCAATAAATATGTCATTAATAAAGTATGTTTATCATAATCATAAGATAGATGTCAACAGATAAATCAGTAATATATTCAGTTCTTGGTTTTATGTTTTTGCTTTTGTAATGTTCAGGCTCTCAAAAAGATCATCTTCTGGATTAGATTTGGTAAAGTTGGGCCGGTGCAAACAAAACACCTGCTACTTGTTTCCCTGATGGTTACCGTCATTGTCCTGATCGGCGATATCAACATGGCCCCGGTGAAGCTTCGACACCCGGGACAGATCCTTGTCAAGTTTATGTCTTCCAGTATTTGTTGATGAGGACCCCTGACTTGACCCTGAAAGATGACGACATCAAAACTCCCGGGTTGTGTCCAAAGACATCACCGCTTCTTGGTTGGTATCTTAAACCTTATTTCTGCCCTATCACTGTAGATGTTTCAATGTCTGTATCTGATGGTAGACGTCATTTGATGCTATAAAATGATGAGCGACTCTTTAAGTTCCCGTGTTAGTTCGTGTAAACACTTGCCTTGCCTTGCTTTGTTTTTGACAAGCGCTACCGGAGAGACTGGATATGGTCACGTTTTGGTGTTGTTTTTTATTTATTTATTTCTTGCTTTCATTAATACATGTAAGATCTGCATCTATGTAATTGCCTGTATTTCGTGACTGTAGTTTCGTGTTTTGCAGTTGGTGTAACTCCAGTGGATGAAAGCCCTACCGATCTGCATCATCTGAGTCAGACTTCCTCCTCATCTTTCCGCCCAGGGGGACACTACAAGCCACCAGATTGTGTGTCCCGAACGAAGACTGCTGTCATTGTGGCCTACAGGAACAGGCAGCGCCACCTGGTGATTCTCCTCAATCACCTCATCCCCTTCCTTGTCCGGCAGCAGGCAGAGTTCGCCATCTTTGTTGTTGAACCGGTGAGACAATATACCATTGCTTATCCGTTTTAGCCTACGAAGAACTATAATATATACCTGTATGTTCGTGAGAGAACATGATGAATTAGGAATTGAGGCTGTGAATTGGAGTTTATTTTTGGTGGTTGATACACAAGAAATACAATACTGACATATTGACACGATGATGCGCTTATTTACGTTAATTTCACTCACAGTCACAGTCAAGTCACGGTGTGTTTCTTCGTCGTCAGCCAGCAGCTGTTTTTGTTCGTTGGTTTCACATTATTTTTCGACTCGCTGTGCGCATGCGCAGAGCGTGTAAAACTATCCACTGAACAACTTCCGGTTTGGTCGTATGCTTTACCGATAGTGTAAACACACTCTCAAGAAAGCAAAAATCAAAACAGATATATGGTTTTATGTCGAATTTAACTGATCTCAATTCATTTATGAATGGAAGGGACCGGGCTTTAGTTAAATAAATAGCTTTACGTTTGTTAACAAGCTCTTGTATAAACACATCTCACCACCACCCGTCCACCGTCCTTCCTGCACATCCCTTTCTCACAAGTAAAAACACATCTCTGATGCAGTTGCCACCAAAATAGGACATCAATTAATGAAAAGCATAGGCAAATGGATGTATGTACTCAACTATGAACAGTTGTCACACGTAATTAATCTTCATAGAGCTTTTATTTAGAGTGTGTTTACACTATCGGTAATACGACCAAACCGGAAGTTGACCAGTGTATATTTTACACGCTCTACGCATATAAGCACAGCGAGTCGAAAATTAAAGTGAAACCAACGAATGGCGGTCCAAGGGAGATAACCCTTTTTATGCTCATAGCATACCACCACAAATAAACAAGTCTCTTCACAACCTGGCAATGCCATGCGAACTATCCAACACTGTAGCTGTCAAAATATCTACCATATCATATTCTACAGTGTCATGGTAGCCAATATTCAGACGTAGTTGCCTCATGGATGATCTTCTGTTGTATAATCCCACGCCAGAGGGCGGTTGCCTTGTCTAGTGGTTAAAGCATTCATGCAGGTTCGATTCCTCACATAGGTAGAGTGTCGAGCCCATTTCTGGTGACCCCTTCGCTAGAATATTGCTAAAAGCGGCGTATAACCATGCCCCCGCACTCACTCTTTCACTCACATGCAGGGCAGTTATGTTCTTGCTCATTAACATTTAAATACAATTCTGATGTCGTATAGTTGTTATATATAAAAGGGGCGGTGGGGTAGCCTAGTGGTTAAAGCGTAAGCTCGTCACGCCGAAGGCCCGGGTTCGATTCCAAACATGGGTACAAACGTGAGAATCCTATTTCTGATGTCCCCCACCATGATATCGCTGGAATATCGCTAAAAGCGGCGTAAAACTAAAACTCACTCACTCACTCTGATACATGTATATAAATATCATTTATGGTATTCAGCTGTAGCCGTACATGACTATCACACTCCAAAGATATATATCAGTTCACATTTCTGTTGTACCATTCTGTTATAGGTACCCAACGTTACGTTTAACAGAGCCCTCCTAATGAACATCGGCTTTTTGGAAGCTCTCAAGACGAACAACTTCACCTGCTTTATTTTCCATGATGTGGATCTCTTGCCGGTGACGGATCACAATCTCTACCGATGTGGTTCCACGCCAAGACACATGGCTGTGTCTAACAGCAAATATGACAAGTAGGTCACCATGGTAACGTTCCCACGCCCAGACACATGGCTGTGTCTAACAGCAAACATAACAAGTAGGTCACCAATGTAAGGTTCCCTAGATGTGTGGCGCCACGCCCAGACACATGGCTGTGTCTAACAGCAAGTATGACAAGTAGGTCACCAATATAACGTCTCCTAGCTGTGTGTGATGCCACGCCCAGACACATGGCTGTGTCCAACAGCAAATGTGACAAGTAGGTCACCACTGTAACGATCCCTAGATGTGTCACGCCAGACGCAAGAACCATATGACGTTATTTGAAATCAGCGTAGAAAGAGCAGGGTCTATAGTACTCAAAAGTTGTGAAAGGTATACACCAGAAACTAAAACTGTTGGAATATGCTGCTTGACCTAAAGAGAAGGTTATCTTTCGGAAAGTTCCAATCTTCCCTCTTCTCATGCTGTCCTTGAGAGTTTTAGTGTCACTTTCAATCTCCATTACTAGATCTCAATATGAAGCATACAAGAAGGTTACAATGGCGTCCTTTATTTCTTCCTGAGACTGGTAAATCAGTGGAAGTGATTTGTCTGTTAGAAGGTTATTGAACAACATCAGATCAACCATAAACCCGAATCTTTAGTTAAATGTCTGACCCAATTATCTTGTGTCGACCTTTCCAGTCGGGGCTGAATTCCGATTGAAGTCCATCCAGAAACGCACAAGCTAGATCGGCGGGACAGTTATTGGCCATCTTCTCCGTGCCTAACTGTCTTTCCCGTAAGACTATACGGGTGCTGTCATACTCTGTCTTTCAGTGGTGGCGGATTTCATGCTTATGCTGGTGGTGTCATGGCGCTGTCGAAGGATATTTACTTGGACATCAACGGACACTCAAACCTGTACTTCGGCTGGGGCGGAGAAGACGACGACTTGTTGTGCAGGTATGGTAAGGCATCCCAATCAAATCAATGATGTCGAAAAAGAGTAGTTTGTAATTACCCATGATCGTCAAATACATTAATAGTATTCACACAAATAGTACACGCAAACCCCAGTCGAACATATAGTACACGCAAACCCCAGTCGAATATAAAGTACACACGACCCCCAGTCGCACATATAGTACACGCAAACCCCAGTCGAACATATAGTACACGCAAACCCCAGTCGAACATATAGTACACACAAACCCCAGTCGAACATAAAGTACACACAAACCCTAGTCGAACATATAGTACACGCAAACCCCAGTCGAACATATAGTACACGCAAACCCCAGTCGAACATATAGTACACGCAAACCCCAGTCGAACATATAGTACACAAACCCCAGTCGAACATATAGTACGCAAACCCCAGTCGAACATCAAGTACACACAATCCCCAGTCGAACATAAAGTACACACAAACCCTAGTCGAACATAAAAGCTACCACACAAACCCTAGTCGAACATAAAAGTACACACAAACCCTAGTCGAACATAAAGTACACACGAAAACCCTAGTCGAACATAAAAGTACACACAAACCCTAGTCGAACATAAAGTACACGCAAACCCCAGTCGAACATATAGTACACGCAAACCCCAGTCGAACATATAGTATACGCAAATCCCAGTCGAACATATAGTAGTACGCAAATCCCAGTCGAACATATAGTACACGCAAACCCCAGTCGAACATATACAAACCCCAGTCAAATATAGTACAACGAACATAGTACACATAGCAATACACGACCCCCAGTCGAACATCAAGTACACACAATCCCCAGTCGAACATACAGTACACACAAACCCCAGTCGAACATAAAGTACACACAAACCCTAGTCGAACATAAAGTACACACAAACCCTAGTCGAACATAAAGTACACACAAACCCCAGTCGAACATAAAGCACACACAACCCCCAGTCGAACGTATAGTACACACAAACCCCAGTCGAACATATAGTACACGCAAACCCCAGTCGAACATATAGTACACGCAAACCCCAGTCGAACATACCTTCGCAGCTGCAAGATACATACAGTATCAGTCACAGTTACATACAGGAACCGGTGTGTGTAGCACATACGTAAAGTCAGTCACACAGCTACAATATAGTACATACAGAAATCAGCGACGCATCTCACACACATACAAGTACAACACACGGAATTCAACTACACGTATGGTATCTAGAGACACCATATCCTCAACTAGTGTAGAATCTAGCCGATCTGTCATATATAGAAGAGTGAGTGGGTTTAGTTTTACGCCGCCTTTAGTAATATTCCAGCAATATCACGGCGGGGAACACCAGAAATGGGCTTTAAATATTGCACCCATGTGGGGAATCGAATCCGGGTCTTCGGCGTGACGAGCGAACGCTTTAACCACTTGGCTACCCCACCGCCCCCATTTGTAGAAGAACGCTACACATCGGGCACACACGGAGTTCAACGTGTCGTGATGTACCTGTAGTTGCTGACAACGGTCCTCAGATGTCTACAACTCCACACACTACATGGACTGTTGTCGTTCTACATGGCTGAAGTTAAATTTCATTTGTTGGTTTGATGTTTGACGCCGCAGCAATACTCAAGCTAGATTGTGACGATCTGTAAATAATCCAGTCTGAACTGGACAATCCGGTGATCAATAGCATGCGCAATTGGGATACGATGACATGTGTGTCAGCCAAGTCAGCGAGCCCGACCACCCGATCCCGTCAGTCGACTCTTAGGACAAGCATGGGATACTGAAGAATAATTCTAAGTTAAATCTTTTAACGGGATTTAGAGTGATACACATGTACTAGCAAGCTACGTGTTACAAGTTGACATCCATATATTTTCAACTTTTTTGCTGAAGTTGTTTAGAAAGCAATGCGATGGGTGATGCTTTCGATATTGATTTGAATTTGCAATCATCTTAAAATCAGCCCATACCAGAGTCACCCAAATGATCCACCCATGCAATTGTCAACCTAATGCTACCACTCCTTCTGTTCTAGACTGGCTTATAAAGGCTACAGGATATCCCGTTACTCCCGCAAGATAGGGAGATACAAGGCTGTGTACCACACCGAAGACAGGGGAAACAGTATCAGCAATACCAGGTACTATGTACTGTAGGGAAACAGTGTCGGCAATACCAGGGACTATAGACTGTAGGGAAACAGTGTTGGCAATACCAGGTACTTGATTGATACTGCAGGGAAACAGTGTCAGCAATACCCAGGTACTGGCATAAACTGTAGGGAAACAGTGTCAGCAATACCAGGTGCTATAGACTGTAGGGAAACAGTGTCAGCAATACCAGGTACTATATATATACTGTAGGGAAACAGTGTCAGCAATACCAGGTACTATAGACTGTAGGGAAACAGTGTCAGCAATACCAGGTACCATATACTGTAGGGAAACAGTGTCAGCAATACCAGGTGCCATAGTGTCACTGTATACTGTAGGGGAAACAGTATTGGCAATACCAGGTACCAGGTACTATAAACTGTAGGGAAACAGTGTCAGCAATACCAGGTACTATAGACTGTAGGGAAACAGCATCAGCAATACCAGGTACTCATAAACTGTAGGGAAACAGTGTCAGCAATACCAGGTGCTATAGACTGTAGGGAAACAGTGTCAGCAATACCAGGTATAACTTTGATACCAGGTACACTATAGGGAAACAGTGTCAGCAATACCAGGTGCTATAGCTATATACCAGGTGCCAGCAATACCAGGTATAGACCGTAGGGAAACAGTGTCAGCAATACCAGGTACTATAGACTGTAGGGAAACAGTGTCAGCAATACCAGGTACTATAGACTGTAGGGAAACAGTGTCAGCAATACCAGGTACTATATACTGTAGGGAAACAGTGTTGGCAATACCAGGTACTATATACTGTAGGGAAACAGTGTCAGCAATACCAGGTACTATAGACTGTAGGGAAACAGTATTGGCAATACCAGGTACTATATACTGTAGGGAAACAGTGTCAGCAATACCAGGTACTATATACTGTAGGGAAACAGTGCCAGCAATACCAGGTGCTATAGACTGTAGGGAAACAGTGTCAGCAATACCAGGTACTATAGACTGTAGGGAAACAGTGTCAGCAATACCAGGTACTGTACTATAGACTGTAGGGAAACAGTATTGGCAATACCAGGTACTACAGTATATACCGTAGGGAAACAGTGTCAGCAATACCAGGTACTATAAACTGTAGGGAAACAGTGTCAGCAATACCAGGTACTATAGACTGTAGGGAAACAGTATTGGCAATACCAGGTACCTATACTGTAGGGAAACAGCAGGCCAGCAATACCAGGTGCTATAGACTGTAGGAAACAGTATTGGCAATACCAGGTACTATATACTGTAGAGGGAAACAGTGCCAGCAATACCAGGTACTATATACTGTAGGGAAACAGTATTGGCAATACCAGGTACTATATACTGTAGGGAAACAGTGTCAGCAATACCAGGTGCTATAGACTGTGGGGAAACAGTGTCAGCAATACCAGGTACTTATATACTGTAGGGAAACAGTGTCAGCAATACCAGGTACTATAAACTGTAGGGAAACAGTGTCAGCAATACCAGGTGCTATAGACTGTAGGAAACAGTGTCTAGCAATACCAGGTAGGTTCTATATACTGTAGGGAAACAGTGTTGGCAATACCAGGTACTATATACTGTAGGGAAACAGTGCCAGCAATACCAGGTACTATATACTGTAGGGAAACAGTGTCAGCAATACCAGGTACTATATACTGTAGGGAAACAGTGTCAGCAATACCAGGAACTATATACTGTAGGGAAACAGTGTTGGCAATACCAGGTACTATATACTGTAGGGAAACAGTGTCAGCAATACCAGGTACTATATACTGTAGGGAAACAGTATTGGCAATACCAGGTACTATATACTGTAGGGAAACAGTGTCAGCAATACCAGGTACTATATACTGTAGGGGATAAGAGTTTCGCCAGCCATATGTTCACCATACCCTTGGAGCAAAAACGTTACCTAAACGGATGACGCTGACAACAGCCCTGTACATAGTAGGTGACGTTACCTAAACGGATGACGCTGACAACAGCCCTGTACATAGTAGGTGACGTTACCTAAACGGATGACGCTGACAACAGCCCTGTACATAGGAGGTGACGTTACCTAAACGGATGACGCTGACAACAGCCCTGTACATAGTAGGTGACGTTACCTAAACGGATGACGCTGACAACAGCCCTGTACATAGTAGGTGACGTTACCTAAACGGATGACGCTGACAACAGCCCTGTACATAGGAGGTGACGTTACATAAACGGATGACGCTGACAACAGCCCTGTACATAGTAGGTGACGTTAACTAAATGGATGACGCTGACAACAGCCCTGTACATAGTAGGTGACGTTACCTAAACGGATGACGCTGACAACAGTCCTGCACATAGTAGGTGACGTTACCTAAACGGATGACGCTGACAACAGCCCTGTAGTAGCTGGATTAACTAAGTGGATTACGATTGTAGCCCTGAACATAGTAGGTGACGTAAAACTTAAACTGATGACGCTTACCGGAGTCCTGTAGACGCTGACATTAGTTATTATGTGAAGCTGACCATAACCCAATGGTGACTGACCCATAATGCTTCCATCGCGTTATTCATGTTTTTTCCATTAACTGGGCGGCGTTGTCATGGTGATACCCGTTAATAATCTCCCCTTGTCCTCCAGGTACCAGTTGCTGTTTACGGCCGAGGAACGGATGCAGTTAGAGGGATTGCGGTCTTTGTCGTACAGAAATGTGAAACAAGAGACCAGGCAGTTCTACACATGGATTTATGTTGACATAAATGAGAAATATTACAGGTAAAGGACACAATCTTAAGCCAAAATATTTCTGCTAATACACAATCAGAATGGAACAATGATGGCCTTTGTGGCTCGATGTAAACACTAGTCCTGTTGTCCTGAGTGTTGGTGTGTAGTCCAATATCTGTCAGTATCTGGTCAGACAGGAGCAAAATGACCCTCACTGACTCCATGTCACTCTCTGTCAGTCTCTATACAGTTTATAATCTTCAGGGATGACAACAGGGGTAGGCGTGATATAATTTTGAAGTTTTATAATGTTGGATGTTGTTGTTTTCAGCAAACATATAGCTTTCTTTACGTAGAAAAGCCGAACATCGTTCCGCGAGCAACAGTGCACAGTAACAGACACGAAGAATACGATGTGACCAGATAGTGTCACATATGATATGATCTCAACGTGTCACACCGAGAAGTGAGGTGCACTATATATGTGACCCCCATAGTGTCACCCTGAGAAGTGAAGGATATGATGCGAACACACAGTGTCACACGGAGAAGTGAGGGATATGGTGTGATCTCATTGTGTCACACTGAGAAGTGAAGCATACGATATTATTACACTGCATATATTTCTTCATACATTTTATATTTTCTACAAATTATTCATAACATAGGAAATCTGTATAGGTGCAAGTCGCTGTGCATAGTCTGTCTTGTTTATGGCTCGCATGGCAAGTGCAGCTGTAGGCAATTAGCAAACGCATGGATCACGCCAACCTTAAACTAATTAATCAAAGATGAAGTTATTGAGCTGTGTCGGTTCCGGCCTTTCTTCTCGGGTACATCCCCTTGGTCAAGCACAGATATGTAGTCCCATCCCAGCAGGAGCATGTCTACCACCAACTAAGTCGTAATCGAAAATCAACTTTTGTCGAACAAGATCGAGATTACCATCATGCCATCCTCTTTGTCCTGTCGTAAATGCCATGGTCAGGCGCTGACAGATATTTTGTTAAGCAGCTTTCATGTACAAACGAATATTTCTTTTTCTATGTTTCGACACACATGTGTGTATTCCCAGTCTTTGTCTTGTTTTATTCATTTGTGTGTTAGATCTGTATATGCAGGTTAGATTCCCGTTCAGTAGCCTAGATTCTAGTAGCTTAGTCACAAAAACAGTTCCGAGAGTTTATACAATCATTTCCAGCAAAGACGAAGTTTTATGTATTTTACTATAGTCCGCCGATCAAATGATAGTCGTAGATTTACCTCAGATATGAGCTCACATGATAGGTATAACAGCCAACATTTGTGTTTTGATATTTCACCAACACTATAAGTATTTGAATAATGATAGATTAAATGTTCCGTCCCGCGTGCAGTTGTATACCGTACAGAACAGTTTATACGCGAATCACATTACCGTAGTCAGTAGAAAATGGTATTGTCTACTCTGCATATTACCAGAAAATATACATTCAAATCCGTGAAGTTGCAAGTACAGTCTTTGTTCCGTATTTAGTTAGCTCCGTAATTTAAGAAATACGCGTAGTCAATGACAACAGCGCCGTCCTAGTACATTATTACATATTCATTTAACTAAGTTACTGTCTTGTTTGGTAAAGCACCAAAATGTAGCACTACAGCATTACATATATTCCTAGGTCATGGCTTAACTCCGTTTATGTCGAAATTGCACGTTGCCAATAGCAACACCACCGTCGAAATACACCTACCGTAGTCACCCAAATAATTCGTGATAAAACAAGCTTAAGTAGTAGTAATCTAACTAAAACTAGGCCTTCTGTCTCCGTATTTACAACACTTTTATATCTCTCTAATATCCCTTACCGTATCTACTGAAACTATTGTATTGAGAAAATAAATGTTAACATTACAGTTAGAATGCGTACAGTCAGTACCGGAGTTAAATGGTATATGTCAAATCTGAGCACTTAGCGCCGTTTACCGTATTTGCTCAAGGCATGTATGTTGATAACGGAAATTACTTTACACCAGTCATAAATCGTTACCGTAGTTAATGCATTAAGCGCGACATACCTTAATAATCATAAATTCCTACCGTAGTTAACGCAATAGGCACTACATACCGTAATTGTCATAAATCGGTACCGTAGTTAACGCATTAGGCGCGACATAACGTAATAGTCATAAATCCGCACAACAGTTAATGAACTATAGGCACTACATGCTGTAATTAAACTGTTGGGCGCTCCACTCAGTACTTATTCTTTGCAATTGTTGTTGATGATTATTTTATCCGTCAGGTTATGTTATTTATCAGTACCGTAGTTACTCAAGGAAATGTTGTATTATTTGTATTATGTTTCTGTAAGCAGTTACCGTACATACTCTGTTGTACCACACATTGCTTATATTACCTGACTTAGATATAAACTGTATTAGGATATCATTGATTACTATTTCTATTATTGTATGTCATTATTATGTATGAACTGATGTATATTGAATGTCATGCAAGACACTTGCTTGAATAAACCCAGGATCTCACAGCTCTCTCCTTTCTTGTTTCAATGCTTGCTCCCTATAGCTAATTCCCCAAATCGAGGCCTGGGTGCCGTTCCACTAACCGATCTTAACTAAGATCAATCTTAGCAAGTTACGCCAATTTTACAATCGTCTTAGCTAAAAGTTACACCCGTTCCACTAACCGATCTTAGGCCGATCGTAGCCGGTCCCGATCTTACGATCCGATCCAAGCTTAGATCGAGACTCTTTCGTGCGAGAATGCGAGGCACGAGTTATCTCCCTTTGCATAGTCTAGCAAATGATGGAAGTAGTTTACGAACCAACTGAGTGAGTGAGTGAGTTTAGATTTACGCTGCCCTCAGCAATAGTCCAGCTATATGGCGGCGGTCTGTAAATAATCTAGCTAAGATGCATAGCGTTCACTAGCATGAGCGTTCATGTTAGTGAACGCTATGTATCTTAGCTATAAATAATCGAGTCTAAACCAGACAATCCAGTGATCAACAGCAAGCGCATCGATCTGCGCAGTTGGGAACCGATGACATGTGTCAAGCAAGTCAGCGAGCCTGACCACCCGATCCCGTTAGTGGCCTCTTACGACAGGCATGGGTTATTGAAGTTCAATATTCTAACCCGGGCCTTCATGGGTATTTTTCCAACCATGTGTAAACGTGGAGAAAAAACCTAGAGCAAAATATTAGGGTAGTGAGCACCTTGGTTTCAGGTGCAAGTGCGTGAGAACGCTGGGTATCAAGCATAATATAATAATAATAAATGCATATTTATAGTGCGCCTTTTCCTCATCCTGGGGCATGCTCAAAGCGCTGTGTACAGATAATTTACACGAGAGTATTTACAGCCGAGATTATAAGTAATATACTGAGAACAGGTTTTAAGTCTGGACTTTAAAAATGTCAATTGTGTCAAAGCTTTTAATATGTGCCTGAACCTTGTCAATCAGAATAAACAAGGCGTGAAGAGGCTATATATAACGTATGTAGAATCTGTCAGTGGTCTTGAATAACACGCGGCCTGTCTTTAAAATCCCACACCAAATATGCGCAGTGAAATCAAACATATTTGTATCTTTTTGCTTCAGAACATTGTTCACTTCACGGCTGTCCCTATTCTTAACCATGACATTGCAATATTGTTGTACAAATGTGTTACACCGACTCGCTCAGTTGTGTTCCCATGACGACAGTGGTCAGACTGGCCTGACATCTGTAAGGCTTCAGTGCAGTGTTTGTTTACATCACAGAAATATACAAATTCATTTCATGGGGGACTTTAGGGGACGCTTACGGTGAAATGCTCGCTCTTATTTTTCACAAAGAATAGGAAAGTCACCATTTTGGTTTCTCTACGATTGATTTTAGCTATCCTAAGTTGGTCATGAGCAACTTAGACTTTGAATCTTAACTTTACGATTGACTTAGGTAAGATTGGTTAGTGGAACGGTATGCCGATCGTAACGTCACGCTAAGATTGGGATTTTAGGGGTTTACGATTGGCATAGGGCTAAGATCGGTTAGTGGAACGGCACCCTGGCAGCACCTTTAGCACACCTAGCGCTAAAGGTCGTCCGAACGGACACAAAAGAATAGCTGTCTTAATATGAACAAACAGTGTCACACTGAAAAGTGAAGGATACGATGTGACCTCATTGTGTCACACCGAGAAGTGAAGGATACGATATGAACAGTGTCACACTGAGAAGTGAAGGATACGATATGAACAAACAGTGTCACGCCGAGAAGTGAAGGATATGATATGAACAGTCACACCGAGAAGTGAAGGCTACGATGTGAACAAACAGTGTCACACTGAAAAGTGAAGGATATGATATGAACAGTGTCACACCGAGAAGTGAAGGATACGATGTGAACACACAGTGTCACACCGAGAAGTGAAGGATATGATATGAAGAGTGTCACGCCGAGAAGTGAAGGCTACGATATGAACAAACAGTGTCACACTGAAAAGTGAAGGATACGATGTGACCTCATTGTGTCACACCGAGAAGTGAAGGATACGATATGAACAGTGTCACACTGAGAAGTGAAGGATACGATATGGGAAGATGACTCGGATTGGGTCAGGAACGAACTTAACTTCTTGTACAGATGTGGGGAATCGAACCCGGTCAAATAGAAAAATATGTTCACCTTTCCATTGTACCTGTAGGCCCCCCGTGGTAGAGTTGACAGGAAGTTCAGTATAGATAAGTCATAAGGTGTTCGGGCTACAATCCAAAGAGTGAAACCATTTAAAGAAATATAAGGGTATATTGCAAAAGTAAACATTTACGAGAGAGGAGCCGGATTATTGCAATGTGTGTGAATACCTGTTTCATGGATTATCACGTTAACCGCCATCACGTAAGAAATATGTTTTTCATAAACGACATAAGTGAAACCAACAATAGGGGTGATAAGAGGTCGCTGTACTATTATCAGAAACTTTTGAAAATACAGGACGTGGCAGGAGGGATCCAAGTACAGATAAAGAGCAGTACAAAAACAAACAGTGGTAATTGTGATCACAGGAGTGATAATGTTTATTTTGTTTTTTTAGCAGATCGATATTAACAAGGAAAGTAAATGCGTTTACATTTTGTGGACGTCTGTGATTAAGGAACTCTTATCACAATCGTGATGACCCATTTGAAACGGTCAAAGGTCATGCCGCAGGTGGATAAAGGATATGTCAACCAGTCCGTGCATGTGGAGGTGTCAATTGGCGACAAGATTGACACTGGCGTTGGCGTGGTGTCTCGTGTGTGTACACACACACACACACACACACACACACACACACACACACACACACACACACACACATACACACACATACATACATACAAATACTTGTATAGGGCCAATATCCGTAAACCGCTCAAAGGCCCTTTGGCTCTAAGATGGTCTAGATATCACATAGAGTTAAAGTGCTTCAGCAAAGAGACGCGTCTTTAGATTTAATTTAAAAACAGCTAAATCTGGTTGTGTTCTGAGGTGAGGTTGTTCCAGAGATGAGGGCCAGTCGTCTCGAGTGACCTGTCACCATATGTTTTTGTCCTAAAGTAGTGTCGGAAATAGAAAAAAAACTGTATTTTCTCATTTATCTCTACAATTTATGTAGTTGATATGTGCAAGTGTCAAATATCTGTTAAACTAAGTTCGG